TCCCTCTCCCTCCGGCTGGCCGGTGCCGAAGGGCCCCTTCCTTCGCCCGGGGCGGCGAGGGCCGCGCGCGCAAAACCCGCGCCCCGGGGAGCGCCGCGGGTCGTCCTCGGCCCCAGCGCGCCTGTCGCCAAGCCTTGCGGAGGGCGGACCCGACGCGAGTCGGAGGGGAGACCGAATGCCTTCCTTCTGCCCTCCAGCTGCGGGGTTGGCTCTTCCAGAAACAAGTCCGGAGCGGGGTGGCCCAGATGCGTTTTAGTTCTGAACCACGTCTGCACGCCACGAGCCACTTCCTGCCCGAAGACCGACTTCCAAGACTTAGGAATGCGCGTATGGAAAGGGCCAGGGAAGCCGGACGGTCCTCTTGGCCGACGGAGGCCTCACGAAGTCCTGGCTTGGCGGGTTTGGTTTCTGCTGATGCCCCGAGACGCCAGCCACCGTCGCTCGTAAGCTCTGGATATGTGGCATCGCGTACGGGGCCTGTTGTGATTTACTCGATAATACAGTAGTTGAAAATACTCTTGAAATATTCCCGTTAGCCTTCAGATTAATAGCACAATCTCCTAAACGCCTGCTCAGATTCCATTTCGGCTATCCCCATATTATTCCTTACCACAAATGTATTTACACAATGTTATGTATATGTTTGTTATTTTATAGCCCCAAACCTTTTTTTAAAGAAAATCTTTCAAACTCTCCAATAATTTTAAAGCATTCAAGGCTGTTCCTGTGTGTCAAGATCCTGATCAGAAGCCTATTGAGTTATTTCATGCATCATTTCATCTCTACAAAAGGTTTATAACATAGTTTAAGAACCACTAGTTAAGGGGAAGAAAAGAAGAAAAATTATAATGTAATTAAGTTGCAGAATGCAATCTGAGGAACAGTCCCTTGGCACAGAAGCTAAGACTTTATTGTTGTAAACTTTAGACCAATGCCACACCCGTGCTGAAAAGCAATTTCCGTGCTGGCATGAACACAGGATACAGTCCTGGGATCGTATTTACGCGAGCGTGCATCTTCCACCGTTGCCCTGACTCAGAGATGGCGGCTTTGTCCCCACATGTGAGAAGGCTGCCTTTGTGCAGTCGCGTGGGGGAACGGAAGGCATCTGTTGACTGTGTCCGTATCAATCGCCACTATTGTTGTCCTGCGAAGTCCAACAAGGGAGATTCGAGGGAGCGTAGAGATTCACAGCATCTTCTGAGGACCCGAGGTGTCCTCCCGTATTCAGAGATGTCAACTCAAATGTTGCAGCCAACAGATACCCCCACCTTCTCTCCAGCCATCTGGATATTTCACATATTTCACCATACAGTACACAGCGCAGACGAATGAATTCCACCGGTGTTTCAACACTATGCCTACAAATTTCTGAGAACCCATTTAAAAAGATGCATTTTCACCTAGCGATCCAACAATAAGCACAAATCAAAGCATTTTAGTAAGCCCACTTGTAATTAAATGGAAGTGCTTTGCAAAGCTGGCTGGCAAGAATAACGCGGGATGCGTTCGCTTGTCCTTTGCAAGGCCGGTTCCCCTGGGCTCACTGGCTGTCCAGCAGAAGCGTGGGGTGTGGAAACAATTGGGGGAAGTGGCTTTTGGAGCAGCTGTGCAAATCTCACAAGGACGTAATCTGTTAGCAGTTCAAGGAGAGGCATTTCACTCTCACTAGCGTGTGTGCTGAACCCCTCCTTCAAGCCCTAGTAAATACACACAAAGCCTGCGAGCCCAAAGTGCTAATTTAGACCAGCCAGTCTCCAGATGGACTGGATTACAGCTCCCATAATCCACAAAGCATGGTGGCCAAATAATGGGAGTTATTGTTTAAGACGCCCGTCAGGGAAAAAAGCTGTAGGGACTCCAACACACTGGCTTGTATCAGACTTTTCTGCTCCCGTTTAACAAAGTGCATTTGATCTTGCACGGTTCTCTTTATTACAGTCAGATTTTTGCAAGTCTTGTTTAAAAAACTTGCAGAGAACAAAAAGCATTTTGCAAAATGCTTTCCTGTGATCTGGTAAACTCTACCTTCAAACACTCCTGTATTACCATCAGCAGCGCGATCAAACGTTAAGGGAAGCTTACCCTCTATGCTTCGTGCATTACAATTCTCAATAGTACCAGACCATAAACATAGTTCTGAGCATTGCACAGGCTGGTTGGGAATGAGTTCCCTTTCTTCTCCCCCAGCAGACAGAAGAGGTGGCGTGGAGGTTATGAACGAGGGAGGGAGGAGGAACATGCAAGCAGCCACATCCACGTTACGAGGAACTCGTTTCACGAGCAGTGTTTCCACCGCAGAACGGCTGAATTATGAAGTCAGTAACTGGGCTTGCCCGCCGCATTAAGCCACGGTTTGCTTTAACAGAGCATAACCAGCTCGCTTAGCTCAGCCTTCCTGAACCCCGGAGTACGCCACTTCCCCTTGCAGCACGGCTCCGGTGCCCTCAGTTCAGCTGCCTGCAATCCAGCAGGGCCTCGGGCCACCCAGGGAGCTGCTTTCAGCTTCCTCCCGGACAGGCTGAACTAGGAGGGCGAGCCTGGCCCCCAGGCCTGCTTTCTGGGGCAGCCCCTCCCCCCTTGTTTCACAGTGGCCAGAAGAGACCCGAAGACCTGCGGAGTGACCACGTGATGCCGAGCCAAGTGCCCGGTTTCCCTTTTAGGAAGGGACCCCTCCTTTCTTTTTCTGGACTCTCAGTCCCTGAGTAATTCACACATTCCTGAAACTGCAGTATTCCTTAAGAGAAACTGAAGACGTTAGTGAAAGTGATGGTGAATTACACACTGAAAACCTGGCACGTTTAGGAGGAACGGTGGACTCCTTGAGCCTGGAGGGGGGCTAACCGAACGGCTCAGCTTGGTCGGACTCTGGGCTGAAGAATCTCTCCCCCCACCACCTCTGGACTGGCTGCTTAGCAACATGAGTAAAAGGCTGAATATTATTCCATTTAATTTGTTCTCTAAAACCTAAGTTGCTGCTCTATATCCATTTCAGAATGTTATTTTTATTACTTCCTTACTTTGCATTTCTGTCAGTTCTATTTTGCAGTAGTCTTTTCCCCCCTCTCTTGCGACAGACAAGGAACCCCAGACAAGATCAGGATCAACAGCGGGCTAACGCTAGCCTCCTTAGCATTAATTGGTGGTCAGTTAGTTGAGCTGGGTTGCCTCCTTGGGTGGTCGTGCACAGGGCGCCCCGCTTCCGATGAGCCAACGGCGTATCTGGTGTTAACTGCTGCTCACTGTAACTTTTGATCACGTAAACACGGACAAAAGGTCACAAGAAGCAACGGATAATCTGAAATTTAATCCACATCAATGTTACCAAAATTTGATCATTGCTGATTTGTGGTGAAAACATAATTTTGTTACAGTACGTTAGATGCTGTTTCCTTTTCTGTAAGAGTGATTTAAGCTGCCGCTAAAGCAATTGCATTGAATCTCAGTTCATCTGGATCACGTTCCATGAATTTCTTGCATACTTCTACAGCATCCTAGACAGAACACACAAAAAGATAACCGTGTACCATCTTCTCTGCATACACAACAACTTTAACTGGCACCAGGTCTATTTTAGGTTGCCTTGTTTAAATAGTCTGATGCTTTTTATATGGGGCTCTGCTGAATAGCATTTCGTTACATATGATTTACTAAAAGAGCGTAACGGAATTCATGATTCACTATAAATGTCTTTGAAAACAGATTTTGCAGCGATTCATGAATTTGTAAGCTCAACAGTAGTCACAGATAGGCTACTGTGTACTAAACAGTTCCATTACTGTACTGAACTTCAAATGTGTTTGCATCTCCCTAAATGCTTTTCTGGAAGACAGCAAAGAATCTATTCATTTTAAAAAATTAACAATGCTTTAAATTGGAAGCGTTGTGTACATATTTAGATGTATCTTTCTAGAATAGCAGTTCCAGGTATTCTAATAGGTAATACGGTGAGCCGCAAATTGCTAAAAATTCCTACCTCTAAAAATGTGTCGATGTTCGACTGCCCGTGGTTTATCGGGAAAGGCTTGCGTCCATCTGTTGGAATGTAGGAAAGTCGTGTTTCACTGGGACTTGCCCAGAGCGCGTCACGTGGGAAGGGGACTCTGCCTCCTCAGCTCCCACCACTGCCTCCTATCCGTCCTGAGCCATCCACCAATTACTCTCACTCTTTAATCCAAGTGCAGGAATTAGAAAAGTACACCCGGCCATCTCTAAGCCCACCACTGATACAGAACACCCAAGTTTACAAAGTGAGATATTCTTCTAATTCTTCCTTATCTTTATGTGTATTCCAATTGTAGTGATTCTGAACCGCTGGAATTTCTTGGGCATCCTATCGGGTGAATGCCTGAAAAGTCCAGATGAAAGTATCTTCAGGCACAGGTAACCCTGTACTTCGGGCCAGCGGTGGGCGCTTGTTTCCTTCCAAAGGCAAAGGGGCCCCATCCTTCCCTTGTGAGAAATCCAGAGGTGGGCTGGGCCGTAACTGGATCACGGGAACGGATCCTTCACGGCATCTCTTTTTCCAGCCCAACTTAATTTAGCGGCCAAGGATATGAAGCCAGTTTTCTAGTTCTGCCACTGCAAAAGCACTGATTATGTCAAGCCAGACTGTCTCCATTTCCAGTTCACGTGAATCACTTAGTTGGGCAACGCCTTTTATACTTCTGTCACGGATAAATCTGAAACTAGATTAAAATGCCACAAATGCATATTTCGCTGGCATGGCTAACCTCTGGAGGAGGGACTATCCAACAAGCAACAGATTCCTGGTTCCGCCCAACAGACCCACCTCCATTTCGCAAACCGCGCGCTTGATTTCATTCCCAGTCTATTCTGGGAAACGGCATTTGAACACGCCACCCGTAATCGCAAACCGCCCGTTTTCTAGGGCACGGCTGGAGCTTCTCTGTTAACACAGCCCCCCCGGGGACCAAGAACCAGCCCATCATCTGGACAGGCCTAGAGCAGGAGGCTTTTAGGGTTTCTTCTGCGGTCGTGTTTCCTTATTTGGGTGGCTCCACGTCCCGGATCGGAAGGCTTAAGCAGCATGAGCTGGTAAGCTGGAGCATCTCTCCAGGCTCCTGTTAGCCCCGGTGCTGCAGAGGCTTTCCTCAGCAGGGCCGGATCTGAATGGCCCACCTCCCGTTCCCAGAACCGCACGCGCTTGAAGGCTTCCTTGAAACTGAACTACATGGACGCAGGAAAAGGGGGCAACTCCCTCTCCCTTCCCAACGCTCTCCTTTCTCACTTTAGGGTAACTATCATTTTCACAGCTGGGTGTTGAGGAAAGTTAACTCGCTTTAGAAATCCTTCCAACAGCTTCTCTGAAATTCTCACAGATAACAGTGACCCGGTGGCCGTGTCTACCCGGGAGAGAGACATCCTCTGGCAGGATCTTTGACCCTCCATATTCTCACCAGAGCCTCAACCTGAGTGAACATCCCCCTCCCTCCCTCCGGCCTTTCTCAGTCATGGGGCCTTGTTACTGGAAAGGGGGCACTGGGCCGATGAGAAGCGGCTGGATTACTTTTCAGGTCCTTGGAGAAACCACCATCCAAAGCGTGAAGAAATTAAATAAAGACACCTAGATACAATCATCAGAAAAACCTTCTGAATTCAACATTTTTGCCGGTTTATCCATTCCTCCTTTTTAAAGTTATTATGATCAAAGTCTATACCTGTGGTTCTCAAATGAGGAATATAATGGACAAAAATGTCAAAAGTTCTGTTGAAAATGTAAAAGCAGTCAAATTATTGAACCATCTTGCATCACTGCTTCTCCACTGACAAAGTGAACATTTGAATTAATACTACTGAAGGCAGACAGCGCGGACTGTAGATAGTATTTGAACCAGTTGTTCTTACCTAGTTCATAAAGAATGCCATCAACATTCACTAAAGCGATGAAATGAAGATCTACTTTCTCATCTATACTTGGTGCCTGCAAGAAAGAGTATAAGATTTATACAATTTATTAGCAGAATGCTTGCCTATGGACTCGGAAAAGAAATTAATCACACTCAGAAACTCATTTCAACCTCAGAAAAATCTGGATCCAAGTTTTGGCACAGTAAGCTCCTCCCGAGTCGGGATCGTTCCCTTCCTACTGAAGTTTCGGTGACCCATGAAAACCATGTTTTCCAAGTGGCCTTTGGGGAATAGATGCTGGTTTGGGGAGACGGTATCCAGTGCATTTATGTTGATGATAGAAACTGTAATTTCATTATCAGGTGATGTGCTTTTTCTACCTGCACTAGTTTTCATTTTTGCTGTCCTGTATTATTTCACTGTATTGGAAGCCACCTAGAATAGAATGAGGCTATTTGCAAACCTTAGTAAATAAACATGTATGGAAACCAAGAGACAAAGGGTCTTTTCCATATAACCAAGTTTCAGTCATCTTGTCTTGCACACGATTGATAAATGACCACAATCCAACTCCAGGCCCCCAAACCTGAAGACATGAAACATCCCGAGAAGAGGCCTCTGTTGTCCAATTTTATGTACTCTGCAGCACACACACAAGAAACACGGAATTGGTGATGTGGTTTATGAAGTCTATTGGAACAAGTGTACTGTGGCAGTTCAGTCACCCTGGTGCTAGCAGGGAGCTGCAGCCCAAAATAACATATAAAATAAAAATGAATGAATGAATGAATGAATGAATGAATGAATGAATGAATGAATGAATGGTTTTCCATATCTTCATTCTTTCCTCTCAAATGATCTGTCTACCCTCCATCATTCCCCATGTGTTTACTCTGCACAGAAGCCCAACCAACATTCCTGGAACTTTTCATACCGGCGTGGCCTGGGTGGAAATCCTGACTGCCTAGATCATGAGAACACAGGAAGCATAAAATATTAAACAATTCCGTTAGAGCGAAAGACTTCTTCCCAACTGCTTGAACAGAAAAAAACAAGCCGAGGAAACAATGCTTATCATGACTGACAGAGAAGAAGGCTGGCATTCAGAGCATCAGAATGCCAAGGACAGTCCAGAATTCCGAAGTCACCTTGTGCATCGCTCCCGAAAGACCTCAGACGAAGAACAGATGGAAAGGAGACCGCCACGGAGCCCGGAGAAGCAAGAGCTCAGGAAACCAAGTGGCATAGCATTGAAAGTCCGCAGGCCAAAAAAGCACCAACTGGGGGAGGGAAAAGAAATCCAAGGAAGGCAGGGCAGCTGTCATTCCACGCTGCCTTGTCACCGTTTGAATTTCTCACTGGCGGCTTCTGTGGAGGTCTGAAGATGGCAAAGCAGCACAGATCTGGGTTTGCTGGACCCTCCAAAGAACAAGAAGGAAGCTGAGAGGAGGAGAGATTTCCTGGGCTGGGGAGGGAGGGGCGGCCACAGCATTGCCCTGAGCAAAGATGGAAGAGAAACCAGACTTACGGCCGGAGGGGCCCCAAGAGATGATAAAGGGACTGTGGGCCGCCAATGCTGTAGGCAGACGGGAGCGCTTGCGGCCTCCTCTACAGGGCTGGTGGCTTTTGCACAGGCTACGGGATTGCATCGGATCAGGGTCAAGGAGGCAGAGCGACGCAAGGGCGAGGCCGTCATTTTGCAGTGGCTAAACTCAGGCTGGATTGAGGAGGATGACAAGCGTGGCGATGACTACATAAATATTGAAAAAAGACACACTTTACAGGTATGGTTTTAGCTCAGTGATGTAGCCCAATTCAGTGGCCCTCAACCTGCTGTATTTTATACCTCAAAGAATCTACTTTTTCTGAGGACAGATGTTTATAGGCAATCTGTCAAAATTAATTTTATGAACTACACAGAGCCCTCTCTCATCTTTCCAAGGAAGAGTATAATGGACCTTCCTCCCACTCCTTTTGGGGTACAGAAGACAGTCAGCCGTCCCACCACCCACCAATGCTGAACAACAGGCTTCAGGGCTTGCCTCTGGCCCTCCTCGTGCTCCCTCCAAGCAGCAAAGGGGTCAAAAGGCCCCCCCCAGGGCAGCAGAAAGCAACCAGGGATAGAGGGCCCAGATCTCTAGGGGGCCCTCGGAGAAGCCACTGCCAGCAGGGCCACCCCTTGATCCTTTTCCTCTCTGCTGTTTCCCAAACAGCACCACAAGGCCAAGGCGGCCACAGGGGATGGAAAGCTTCCTGCACCTCTGGCAGCTGTTGGCAAAGGTCCCAGGAACCCCACCAAGAATACAAACATTTCCAGCCGAAAGGAAAAGGGGGAATTGTTGTCTCTTCTCTCCTATCTTGTGAGAACTCTGCTCACTAGCAAGAAGAGAGGGGATCTCCTTGCTTCTTCCAAGGTCTCCTGCGGAGGCCAGGTCAGGAGAATGGGCAATGGCTCAGGGGGGAATGAAGGAGATCAAAGACAGGGTGGTCAGGTCAGGCAAGGAGTCCAGCCATCAAGGTTGATGGAGCTCTTCAGGCCAAGTCATCGCACTCTAAGCTGCCCCAAGGAGCTGTTCCAGAAGCCACTGAATCAGCAGAACGCACACAAGGAGAACCCACACCGGTAGACATGAGGATTAAGGGAGAGCAAACTCTTAAGCTGTGGTTAAGAAAAGCCCATGCCCCGCAACAGGAATGTGCACTGCCAGTTGACAGGCCTGTGAAGAGCATTCCTGATACCAAAGAACTGTTCTGCTTTAACTGCGGTGCTCAATCAAGATTAATTATTTCAGAAAGTGAAGGCTCCTGTAACTGTTCAGCAAAAATGAAAGCCAGTTGGGTGACTTTGGGCCAGTCGCTCTCTCTCAGCCCAACTCACCTCACAGGGTTGTTGTTGTGGGGAAAAGAGGAGGAGGAGGAGGAGGAAGGAGTATTAGGTATATTCGTCGCCTTGAGTTATTTATAAAAATAAGAAAAACAGGATAAAAAAATCTTGAAAAAAAAACAACTTGAATTTCTGGGGGCTATCACAAAAGGTTCAGCCCTCTTCCGCCATGAGATGGGAGAAAGACACTGTCGCAATCCCCCCCACCAAAAAGCAAGCAGGTGTGAAATCCAGCAGAGTGCCCTTGTCGTAAAAAGTGTGTGTCCGATGTAACAGATGTCTAATTAAAAGCCAGCGGACAGCTGAACCGAGGAGGTTCTTTCTCTGGGACGTACCATTTTTGGCTGCCTGGAAATGGGGTTCTAGGCGTGAAGTACTTACAAGGAAGCAGCTAGAAAAAGGGCAGAAAGATGGGTAGAAATCCCACCCTTTTCAGTGAAACACCAATTCTCAGGCTTAAGGAAGTTCTGGGAAAGCCCCCAGACAGATCCCAGCTCTGACCAGCATCTTTGCTGTTGGTACAGAAATCTGGAACGGGCATCGGAGCATCTCTCCCAATCTCTGAGTGGGCCCGATTTCCTGCATGGATTTCCTGCTTAGCGCAATTTCTGACCCTCTCCCTCACACCAAGTCATGTGCTTCGCATTCAGGGGGTGCAAAACAGCCGCAAGGGGGAAGGAGATAGCCCCTTAGCCACCTCAGCTTCCTCTTCTGGGCCGAGAGCCCTCCAATCCAAGCATGCGCTGGAACCATTGGCTGCGGGCAGGAGGGTGGCAATGGGGCCATCTGTAGCCCCCCTCCGCATCTGAGGTACGACTGGACAATCCTGGTGGCTCTTTGCAAAGCCAGGGTCACCTCCGAACTCTGGCACACCGTGCTGTGGGAAGAGGCGGCGTGTCTGTTGCTGCCCCAGCCTGCGCGACGCCTACTGGAGCCCCATGGGCCTCTGAGGCCTTCCCTGGGGTCCGCTGCTTGCAAACCTTTCCAGAAGCAGAGAATACTTTCCGATCAGCCTGAGGGCACCAGAAGGGCACCCTGAGGCCCACCTGGCTGCTCGGCCTCCTGCGAGTGGAGAGGCCGACGCTGGGCAAAGCTCTGCGTCCCTCATCTGGCAGGAGGGGGACCTTGGCTGCCTGTCGCCTGTTTTTTCCTCGTCCAGCCATTGTTTGCCCAAAGGCACCATCCAGTTTGCCTTTTCTGGATGAGGACTCGGCTTGGCGCTGAGACAGGAAATGGCTTTTCCAGCAGGTGAACTTTGCTTTGAAAAACAGGACTCGGGAAACCAGCGAGAGCACAAGAGATAAAGGGCAGCCATAAAACACGACGTGCGAGGAAAGAGAAATCAAACAGGCAGGTCCGTTATAAAACTGAAAGACAGCCTCCCTTAATCAGCTCACACAATAAGGCTTCTCCTCCATCTCGGCTGAATGGAGCCACGTACTTTCTAACAGCTCCCTAATTCCAGCAAGTTCCCTTTCTTTCTGGCAGGCAAACTTTTTTTTCAGGTATTGGTCATACAAAGAAAACTCAGGGGAGGTTTAATGGCAAGGGAGCACTTGGTTCCCCAACCTCACTTTGTACCTAGGTGATGCATAAACAAGATTTATAATAAAATACAGCCTCCACACACACACACTCACCCATACAAGTGAGCAGTGTGGCAGTGGTGAAGGTGCTGGACTAGGAGGGGGGAGACCGGGGCTCTGGTCCCCCCTCAGCCAGGGAATACCCCTGGGGACGATGGGCCGGTCTCTCTCTCTCACCCCTAGACTGGACCAGCTTGTTAGATTATAGTCCACGACCTTTAATAAAGAGGCCTTCATCCTACCGTGGACTGATTCGGACTGATTATTAGGGCCATGAGAAGCCTGTTTCATTTACCATGACGTATACAATAATAGTTCAGTCAAATAATGAACGTGTGTGTGCAAATCTGAATATAAACTGAAGGTTGTGTGTCTATTTACACTCGGGACAAGTAGCATCTTTGTAACTGGCATAACTTTGGGCTGCTTTTACTACAAGCTCATAAAGATGGGTGTTATTTTGCTTCACTTCTACCAATTTTCTTCACTAAGACAAGATTCTTCTAAATCAATTTCATCAGAACTAGATCAGGACATACACTATTTAAGTTGCACAGCTTCAACTCTGCCATCTTTGTAATCTGATCATTTTATTTCTTTACTTAGTTAAATTTGCATCCTGCTTTTAGTTCAGGAGCTCACAGGAGCCCCTACGTCCCATTTTTCCACACAACCACCACTGTATGAGGTAGGCCGGGCTCAGAGAGGGACTGGCCCAAAGTCATCCAGGGAGCAACCTGGGTCCTGAGGGTGGACTTGACCCTGGGCCTCCCTAGGGCCAGTCCAACATTGCAACCACCTTGCCACACTGGCTTTTACGGGCACACTATACAGGGAACATGGTGTACAGGTGTGGGGGGAGCAGGGGGGAATAAAAGGTACACAAATGTTTCTGTCTCAAGGGCAAAAGAGGTTGATTCAATCAGTTTGGAAAGCATTTTGAGCTTGAAACAGCCCAGATGGTTCGGAATGGCTTGGCCAGCTCCAGTACTTGTGAATATCTATATACGGTATGCTTGTATTGTGAAAAGACCGTTTAACATTACATGAATCCATTGTTCGCAGAATTATATGCATTGCTGTACATAAAGGACCATTTTTTGTGATGGGAATTAACACCAAGCCCTTGTTTTCTCAGAGAACTTTACAGAAAAAAATTCAGTTCCGATCCATCTTCTCCAGGAGACCCTTTCCAATCTAATTTCCTTGGGGCTTCATAGTTTGATACCTAGCTTAGCAGCTGTTTTATTATGTCCTTTCGATGTCATTCCTTTTTACCAGGCAGGTGAGCCACCAACTCCTCAACTATGGAGCAGGCCCAGAGACTAAAACAGGAAACGCCACAAACTCCAGCTCTGAGCTGCACCCACCGTTTTAGCCCTGACCCCTAGGTCAGAGGGGCAGCAACAGGGGGGCCCTTGGAAGCCCTCAGATCCCCCCTCCTGCGTGTTCAGGGCCAGCAACTGGCCCCCCTTCCCTTGGTCTCTGGGGGGGTCCGTTTTGCCTCTGGAGTTTTAGCCCCTCACTCAGGGAAGCCCCTTCATAACTCTGCACTGGACAGTGTGACGCTCATTGTAACAAAACTAAAATAAATAAACTAACTCTTGTTTGTTCTTCCAAAATAAAATAAAGCTGCTGCTTTCTCTTCTTAGGAGAGGATTGTTTGAGACTGAAAAATAACATCCTGGTTCTGTATCAGCAAAAAAGCCTGTAGCTTTTGGGGAGGGGTCTGCAATTACAAAAAAAAAGTTCAGTGAAAAAGGGCGGCCCGCCAATGCCAAGCTTCCTTGCTGGACAAGCCCTCCAGCGGTGGGGGTGGGGGTGGGGCCCTCTGTCAGCCTTTCAAGAAGCAGCTCTTTGACTGCCCACCGATCCCCAAATGACGAGGATCCAGCCCGAATTCTAGCATTCAAAGGCCTTCGCTATTCATTTACATGCCACAGAAAAATATTCTAGGGGTATGTGTGCGCATATATACGCATAAAGATATGCACATCCGTGTACGTATAATCCACGCTGTGGATCAGTTTATACTTGCCTTTTCCAAAAAAGCACTGGTCATCAGCCAGCATGGTGTAGATGCTAAGCCCATCCTCAGCCACGGAGGCTCTCTGGGAGATTCCGGGCCACTCGCTCTGGGCCCAGCCTACCTCGCAAGCCTATTATCTGCAGCAATAAGATGAAGGGAGATACACACCACTTTTCCCTCCTGGAGTAAAGGAGAATAGAAATCTAATAAATAGATAAAATAACCTTGTTCTATATTTCTGAGCTCGGAAGACCCAATTTGGCTTAACCACAGTTAACAATCTATCGTTAACAAATGTGGCCACATTTCTAAATTTAATCCCTATCATTAAACCACTGAAGAACAAGTCTCAGTGAAATCCAGAGAGGGCTAGCCTTGCTTCCCCAGTGAAACTCAACTCAACTCAACTCAACTCAACTCTCCCTATCCCATCCTATCCTACCCCAGGTCTAGCTAGTTTGCAAAGGAGAAATTTACAAGACGTACCCATGGACACCTATTGCAAAGTCCTGAAATCAAGTTCCAATTTCTATAGTTCCAAACGCAAGAGCTGACAGGCCCCAGCCCAGACTTTTCTTCCCTACTGAATACGATGCCATTATCCTTGCACGCAGCACACATGGTCCTATCCTTCAGGGAGGAAGTTCTGTGTCTGTGCGCCAGGACTCTAAAAGGCTCAGACATGAATAAAGCCTCAGCACTAGAAACAGCTACTTGGTCATCTGCATGGTAGTCTATGTTGCCCGAGATGTGCGATGTGCCCGCTACACTGCAGACGGCACATACCAGCCAGTGCTATTCAAAACAACGAAGGGATCCCACTCAGACAGGTGTTATTCCAGCGCTGGGGGACAAATGTCACTCACCCAGGATACCCCATCCTTGACCTCAAGGAAAGAGTCCTTGAGAAAAGCAAGCGCAACTCACGTGTGACTGAAGCGCCACCCATTTTTAATGTGCACTGGCTATAACAAATGGCAGAGCTTCAATCCCACTACCACAACCATTGTCTTGACTTTTTTGACCACACTTGGCAGACACCCCCGGTTCTCTAGGTGACCCATGGTGGAGAGAAAACCCATTAGTAGCATACCTCTTATTTAATTATCACGCGCTATTTCATTCCCTTCAGAAACATTCTTGTGTAATGTAGCATCCTCTGAATTTCAAAAAGCGGGGCTTTGGGATGACATGAATGTGGCATTTTGGATTATTCTTTGTCCTTTGAACAATCAGGGGCTTTGCTGCAGATGCAACGGCTCTTTCCAAAACCGATAAAGAGTCCCCTGCATCCTGCTTTGTTATCAGTGAAAAGATTCACAATTTTTCCAGTTTGCAGAAAGGCAGTTAAAAAGAAAACAAACAATTATCTACTCTAATATACGTTGGAGAGATATTGGTTTTAGATAGGAAATAGCTCAGATGCTGGAATTCTTGTAACCCAACCCTTTCTTCTCAGTAAGTCTTGTTCCAGAAACTCTTTGAAAAAGACCCACTTTCCATTTTAGGAAGTTGCCAAAGACCTCGATTCTTGAGCACTCAAGCAACAGCATTTTTAAATCACTTGATTTAAAAAAAAAATAGCATAAAGGAAGCAAACACAACCAGGGTACATTTCTTTCTCAGAATTAGCCCTGATGTTGGTCTGTATTAGTCTGACCAGATTTTACTGATGAAAGGTTGTAACTTTTTTAAAAAGCAGCTGACTAAGGGAAAAAGTTTTATAACAGGAGGAAAAAATATTCTCAAACAACCCAGAATGATGCTCTAAACATTCCCAGGATATTAACAAACTTCAAAAGTTTTTGCTCCTTTATGTTGCTGCTCAGCCAATAAATTACAGAACCACAAAAAAAGTTTAAGACGATTTTTAAAACCGTCTGTTTCACAGGACTATCCCGCTCCACACTCATTGGTTCTTCAATCAACCTTTGCTCTTCTTTCAGACACTGCATTTGAGATCATTGTGTCTTCCAAGGTACGCCACAAGCTCTAAGTAAGAGTAGCAGCTCCTTGACCATACACGAACGACCAGTCGATCTCTTGGAACAGGTCAGTGCACAAACTGGCAGCAGAACTACACGTGCTGGTCAGACCTGCCTTGCTTTTATGAAAACAGTCTTATTTGCAATGCAAGGGAGCACCAACAAAGCCCTGCTTTCGAAAAGTTGAAGCAGCTGTGTTCTGGCAAGTTTCACACAGCTGCTTCAAAAGCAAATTCCCAAGTTCTTCTGCCTGCACGCACAAGAACCGCCAACTTATCCAGCCACTTTGCCAGGAGAAAAATGAAGTAAAATAGCTGTGCCGGCAGCTCTGAGGCAGTCACATAAGACCTACAAATAATGGGATACTGAAATACATCTCTTCCAAATACTTAGCACAGCTGTATGGTTTAATTTTAGATGCAATTAGAAAAAAATGTTGAGGAATGTCTACGTTAGCTCTGAACCAAGGATGGCTGACAGCCTTCTAGTATTAAATGCTGTTGCTTAATTTAATTGCAATGCAAAGCAGAGTCAGAGCTAAAGAGCAGCCACAGAAGGAAGCCAGCTTCAAAGCAAGAAGCGCTGTTAATGCCAATGACAGTTAACGTTGCCAGCATAAGGGTTACGTCCAGCATGAATAACTCCTCCTTTGTTTGAGGGAACATGCCGGAAACCCCCGGAAAATCATCCAGATGCAGGTGAAGTAGTCAGGCAGCAGAGGCTTCTGCGTCCGGCTTACATCTCAAGCACAGAGGGGCTGGCCAGCCAAAGACTGACCGTACTTCTGCCCATTGCCCTCTGCCCCAGCAACTCTCTTCCCCCGCTTGGAGGGCATGGGGGAGGCCCAAGGACTGTTGCCCGCGGTCGAAGGGGAGAATCAGCGTGGCAGCTTCGCCTTCCTCGGGCAGTACCACCCCACAAGTGCAACTCAACTCGTCCACCGGCCACAGTCAAGCCCAAATAAAGGCAGAGTTTTCGTTACGCCAAGCGAAGGAGTCTCTTTAAATGCCTTACGCAGCCCCTGGCCTTGTGCCGTATCAGCTTTTTAAAAAACAAACCATGAGTGCAACTCAGGGACAGTATTGGGAAGAAATTTAATTAAGCCAAGTGCTGTTCTAAACGTTTCTTCCAGCCCATTTCCTTTCAGTATTACTGCAGGATATCAGTACACCAAGAGCAACTGCACGTCCTCAATTACCTTCCTAAAAACCAGGCATGTATCAAAAGCTTTATTCAGGGAAAAATTAAGTCATGTACCTCAGTCTGGCCTTCATGAGCGCTGGATTCATGCGTCACACGGATGGCCTGAAATTCCAAAACAGACCATTAGTCTGCACATTCGGGTATCCTGATTCACGGCCATAAAAAACCCATCCAATCATCTGACAGATAACCAAATAGCTAAATGCTGTTTCTTAACCAAGAATAGCTCTGCTGTTTTAAGTGCCAGAAACGTTGCCGCGTGTCTCCCAAAGCAGCCCCGGGATTCAGTGACCAGAGCAAACTGTCCCCTCTGACCAATGCGAGCCCAGGCGGGGCCAGGCCTGCTCCAGGGAAAAGGATGCTGGGGCTGCCTCGGAGTCAGGCCTTCCACGGCCTTCCCTCTGGGCTCGAAACAGAAGCCTCTTTGCAGCGCAAGACAAACAGCCAATTAGCCAGCCAGATTGTGCAAACCCAGGACAGGGAGTTTCTCATTGTGTGGGCTGTGCCAGCTCTAAAAAGGGAATTGAGCAACCATGGCGAGCAGGTTGTGGCAGGTCCTCCGCCTCTGCTGTCAGATAAGCCTTGACAGGGGATCCAAACGTCTCAGCCAGCCACCCTAAACAAGCTACAGAGCACAACTCCCCGCAGGTCCTGGGCTTCCATTCCAAATCAGGTGCCGCGCTGGACAGTGTACCAGGCGTAACGACTGACAATCAAGCTAATACGTAATGGGGCCTTAGATAAGCAGTATGAGCGAACTACCACTGTGGATTAGAAACTGTTTTGTGGCTCCTTATTATGGGTCCATAACTTTCAGCCCAAGAAAGTAAATTGGTCTTCCTCTAACTATTGGACATCTCAGCCTATGCATTTATGACAGACTGCCTCGGCACGGCATGATGTGGTATCATGTGAAGTTCCAGTAAAAAAAAATACTCTGCTTTTTTTCATTCAATTGTGAAGCTTCACCAGCACCTTTACACATACTGTGAGTGCCCCCTTGTTGATCCCCGCTCTAATAGAGACATCGTTCAACAGTTGGCGGGGCTGTAAGTTAACAGCTACCCACCTGAACCTTTCTTCCCAATTACAGGCCAGCCATAAAGTTACTTCGGCCCTGGATTAATGCAATGTGTGAATTTGTGGCCGCAGGCCAAGATGAGGGCTTTGTGCTCTGTGTGAGTTGGTCCACTGGGGCTCATTTGATGCTATTACGGTACAAATTCCTCTGTCGATAACATAATTATTGAAATTATTCTAAAAGTAATTATAAGGAAGACGTTGGCTTATTACGAAATTCCAACGCTTCGTAAGTTCAGTTTGACGATACCAACAGCGTAGCGATACAGCTGTCGCCGTGGGGGGAACTATTCAACAGCTAATAAACGATCCCAAGAGAAGACAGACCCCCTCCGGACACGCGTCGCCACTCACTTCGTAGGACTCTAGGTATCTGGCTCTTTGTTCGGGGCTCATGGGCACCGAATCGTCTAGGAACTTCTTCAGCGAGGAGCCTTCCTCTAAAACGAATCGAAAGCGTCAAGATTAAAGGCTGCTACTCGTGAGGCGGCGCAGGGCTGTCCGCGCGGCTTCTTCCCCGCGGGGGCAGGGCGCAAAACACGCGAGGGGCCCTCAGGCAGGACTAACGCCGGAGAGGCGGCTCTCGGGTCCCTGGGAGGGGCCCGCGTTTGCCCTCCCCAAGGCAGGCGGGGCCCGCGCGCCGCGGGCGACCGGCCCCCGCCCGCGGGCAGC